AATAGCTCTTCCCCCGTGTCGACCCGGGGTAGAATTGGCATGACATACACGCAGTTAAGGTTAACAGTAACGTGCTTTCCAAAACATTCAAGTGCTAAAGAATAATCAACCTTTCTTCATTTTGAATATCAAGTGTGTGAACTTCAAGTGTCAAACTGAGTAAGTTCATTGTGCACGAAGTGCATTTGGAGCGGTTATGTGCCGAAATATATTTCCAGATTCAATACATACATTCGGCTTCCAAACTCACATCCGATATTTGACCTTCATTAATTCACATAGAACGAAATGAGGGGATATGTGGAGTTAAAAGTACAAAGACAGCAAGCCCTTGTTAACCTATCACCCGTTAGCCTGACTGCAGTCAAAATCCCTATCAAAATGTTAATTTTTGTCCCAATGCTCGACTGCACACTTTGTTGTTGTTTTTTGCAAAACGGATGTGATGTCAGCATGGTCCTGCATGCTTTCTGAGGCTTGTCAATACTGAGTTTTTTCTTCTCTTGAAATGTAGACAATCTCCACATCTCACCGCAAAATAGCCAAATGAAGAATGTTGTCACAATCTGCATCGGATACTGTAAGTTCAGCTCCTATATTCACACGAAACGCAACTACTGCTCTTTCTATTTTTCATTGTGTAGTCTACTTAGTCTTTTGTATGTTTTTGTTATGACGACATTACTATCCATAAAATTTTTCTTCCTTGGGTGTAGCGCTTATAAATGGCATGCAAATATGTAATTTAATTTGTGCCATTATATCCATTGCTAACAAATACAAATTACAAACTGACAAACAACACCTAAAAAGCTTTGAACTTCTGCCTGTTTAAATGTTACTTGCCGTCTTTTCTGAACAACGTAGTATTTTTGTGCTTTAACTTATGGCTAAATTAGACTACCAGCGCTGAAGGGATAATATAAATCCAGCTAGGGTCCATGCAGGTAGCAAACGTACTGTAAGTCCCCATGGTCCCTAAAGTACTGTCGGAAATTCTAGAAAAATGCTTTTTGACTCATATTTAAAATTCAGAGGTATAACAGTTACTTAAATAACAAATATCACTTTAAGAAACATGTACCTAATGTAAACCGAGGGAATAAATTTTGAGACATGCCCTAAAGTGTGTCTTTACTGATGAAAATACCAAAAACTTAGAAAAATAAGCGGTAGTGGGGCGTTATTTGATACAAACTTTAACTGCCTGTGTTACGTCATCAGCATGCACGGTATGACAGGTGAAATTGACACATGAGCACAAGCTCGGGCGAGGGGTCATCTCAATAGATGTTTTCTTCAAAAGTTGAATATGTGTACGTATCGTATACGTGTTGGTTATGTAAGGGATCATGTGATATCCACATTTCGCATATATATATATGTGTGTGTGTGTGTGTGTGTGTATGTGTGTGTGTGTGTTTGTTTGTTTTGAAATAAACATACGAATGACTGTACATTGGAAAGAATCCTATCACTTGTGTTATCTTATCGATTGATTGTAGAAATGTGCAACGTTTTAATCAATGTTTTGCATGTCAACAGTATATTTCATTGCAAAAATATGGATGTAATTCGGTCAGTTTCATCAAGTTGTGAACATTGGCCAAAGATTAAACGAAGTCACTGGTGTAGCTTCTTTGGTATATATTTATTCTTCTTCTCATAAAGTTTGTAGACCGCCCGTCTAAGTACTCCCTTGTCAAAGTTGTCAAGGATGGTTTTACGTCCCCGGTTTTGCTCTTGAGACGGTCCCTGTCTTATCTGATTTGTTTACAATATTGTAAACTTGTTGGTAAGACACACCAACAGCTCTACAAGTTCTGTAATATACCCTTTCTAAACTAATGAAAGGTATACCTCTGTCTTTTTCACGCACAAAAAACTTATAAACCTTTGCAACAATCGACTGCAAATAGTTGGCCATAGTGAACGCTGTGATAAAGATGTGCATGCATGACGGGAAACTTATTTATCAAGGCTTAACATTTATATTAATATTTCTTCAATAAAGAAACGATAATAAATTAAAGTCACAGAAACATTCAACATTTATTTGTTTAAGAAAAACGCTAATTCATATTTTTATACCGCCTGTATTATTAGCATTAATGTAAAGACTATTTCAGATTTCTGTTGTTGAACTCTGAAAAAATCTTGAGTTGTTGTTTTTGTACCAAATTCTCTCCTGTAAACTTCCCTTTAAATGCATGGGAATGTTAAATCAATTGAACTAAAAATTAGGTACACTATAGGCGAGTTGATATGTTGACAACATAGTACATTTATCACCTTTATAAAGATATCAAGGCTGAAAAGCATTTTTCTAGCATTTCCGACAGAACTTTGTAGTATGGCGATCAACCTTCAGTTGCTGGTGATCTATGGCCCGTTTTTATATTGTATTGTTGCCTCTAGTGATATCCTTTTTATGATAGCGTACTATACTAGGCACATAAAGAAACTATGCATACAAAATTTAAAATCTAAATTTATCATACCGGTGTAGACACATAAAGATTTAAACTCAGAGATTAGTGATATGTATCCAACATGCATGCACGTGCCACGTTCCGTGACGTCAGTGGGTTCGTCCTTGAGACGTGCAATACGTTGTTGCACGTGCATTCCGGGAAAGAGAAACAGAGCAAATGATTGCCACACAATACTGTCACTTTGGAAAGCTCAACCCCTGCCCTTGCGATCGTTAAAAAAATTAAACGGCTATTGAAACGCATAGCATGCAAAGGCTAACATTTGCACAACGTCATGAGGCCATTGGGATGGTCCATGGGGGAATGTCTCAACGACAAGTGGCTGCACATTTCCACTGCCACCGGAACACCATTTCTGCACTGGTGTGACGCTACCAGAACACAAATGACGTCATCGATCGGCCACGTTCTGGACGTCCACGTGTAACAACGCCAATACAGGACAGATGGATAAGGGTGACCCATCTTGGCCACAGGTTTTAAACTGCAGTGATGACTGCCCCACCCATCCCAGGTCTTCGCTGTATCCACCCCAACACAGTTCGACAACGTTTACGTCATCACGGGATCAGACCACGACGTCCCGCCATACGGCCTATCCTGACACAACGTCATCGACAAGCTCGCCGAATGTGGTGCCGAAATCATGTCCGAGTGAAGATCCAATTCCTCTCCCGTGTTGCAAGTGCCAAACGTCTGGTGATTGTGCCAGGACCTGTACATGCAAAATGGTAGGCTGTTGTTGAATGAATGAATGAATGGTTTATTCTCATGAAGATCACGCAATAGTGACATAGAGAGAAAAATACAAATGTACATATTTGTTTCATAGGAGCATACGTAGTCCGGTTTTCGCATAGTTGCTTATTTTTAACAATGGTGCTTTATGCATACAAGACATGAGGGATATACATTTATCTAAGGATGGATATCTACAATAATAGTTTGGTAGGAATGAATTTATTACATTACTTAAACACGGACAATATAACAGGAAGTGGAGTTCATCTCCTATTGTGTTCTTACAGTGTACATAATCTTTCTTCTTTAATAATATTATACCATCTACCTGTTTTTATTGAGAGTTTATGGTTACGAGTTCAACAAGTTGTTCAAGAAGTGTATCGGCCTCCGAATTCCGTAGCATTTTACAACTTGTGTGTGCAATGAAAACCACGTGACATTGGGAAAACCCACTTAAAAATCCCTACTTCCGGCCTCCGTATAGCTGCGTGATGCGTATTCGGGCACTTTTTTTAGCGTATGCAAATTCACGCACTACGCACTGCGTATCACGCATCACGTTTTATACGTGTATGGAAACCGCTATACTATTTTAGTATAAAGTGTTGTATACGCATTACGCCCTACACACTACCCATTACGCATCACACACTGCGCGCACATGGAAACCCGGCTTTAGTGTGTATGGTTTTACGCCTTTTAAAGCAATATTACATCAGTCTCATGGCGGAGACTGGAAATTGCCTTCACCACACTCATGTGTGAAAAGGAATCCATACGTAAGTAGTAATAGTTTTCGCGAGCTATCATGTCCTGTCTAGCCAGAAGCACCCTCCACACACACAATTGACATTCAGAAAGTAAACGTACTCCCCTTCTGTACCACAGACAGTAGTTCATTGATCACTATGAAAAAGAGATGATTCCAGTCGCGTACTTGGTTGGCTCTTCATCGAAACACTTCATGCTGTCCATGAACATGTACACAAGTTAACTGACCATCTGACCACATGTGTTTGGTCACCCACGGATGAAATACTAAATGCATGGAAGAACATAATCGGGGAATAGTAAGTCCAGTTTGATGCTGACGAGCTAAAACTAAATGAACCCACAACTGCAACTTGGAAGCCGCTGTGGCTGAGTGGGTTAGATGGCAGACTTTGTGTGCCTGCGATTATGTGTCTGACTTCAGACACGGAGCAGAACACATACTGGCACGGCTTCCACGGCTGAAACTATGAATACACAATGTCATTTAGAAAGCGGTCAGTTGAAACACGACTTATATTTCGGATTACACCTTCTCAGTAGAGTGTGGGTTCGACTCAACCCAACAAAAGTAGTAGAATCGGTTCTTTTCTGAGAACCTGTACCCCCAGATATAACATATGTTGAATTTATCCACTTTCTAAATGACATTGTGCATTCAAACCGCAAATGGTCATTCGATGGTAGTGATGTTGATGTAGCTGGGTCTTGGGCCTTTAGTTTGCAGTGTTTCACAGACTATTTTCAGAAATGTAAAGTCTCCACATTCAAAGGAGACATGGAGGCAAGATCTGTGGAGGCAGAGATGAAGGTCGCAGGGTGGACCTGGGGACAGGTGCAGCAATGTGCCCAGGATATACAGCATTAGAAAAGTCTAGTAACAGCCTTATGTGCTAAGAGCACTAACAGGATTAAGTAAGTAAGTAAGGTCTTCCGTTAATCAAGGAACTCACACGTGCTATTGAACAATTAGAACTCACAAGAATGACAGAGTACATTCATATTTTATTGAAGCAGTAGTTTAATTCAAGGTACATAATAGAAACATGTTTGTAGCATTGATATTTCGTTAAACAAACTACTATTTTAATGTTTTCCTTGATACATTATCTATGAATCCGAAACAAAACCACTTGTAGGATTCAACACAAAGTATGACTGAAATTCATAGTTTCCAATAGACAGAAATATGTCATCAAATCTCGGTTAAGACTGATTTTCTTAGGATGTTCATGCGCATGAGATACTTTTACACAGTCAGAGATATGAGTTAATTGGAAATGAAAAAGTCACCAATTATACATTGCATTTGTCTTACTCCTTCTACTGACAACAGACTCAAACATTATTTTCAGTACTGAGCGTCATGTAAAAAGGGTGACATTGTGAGTAGAATATCAGCAAGTTCCCTTACAAACAACTCGTGGTAAATAGGTTTGAAATGTAACGTTTCCTCACATCAATTAAAACAGGCGTGGTTAAACTAGAATAACATGCTTATATATAAAAAGAAGTGGCGTGATTCTTCACTGGCGCATTCCTGAAAGAACCAACCGATGGTGGTCCTTTGTACGCTGTTGGTCAGTATTCCAGGTTCAAGAAAAGCGAGTGAGTGATTTCGGATTAAATTAAATATTTATATAATTCAATGTTTATAATGTACGTCGATCTGTACCGTTAACATTTTCAACGTTTCGCAAAGACTTTTAGAATATAAAATGAGCATTTTCGAACTAAAATAGATCCCACAATATTACGTCCATTTATAGGAACGTATGACTGGCCAAATCATTTACTCACTACGCCATCACAGCATGATGAAACACCTCTTGAAACGTAACGATCGCCGATGACTGTTAATTTGCCTTTACGGAAGTCATGGAGAACATTTTAGATACAACAAGTCTAAGATTAAAAGAAATATGGTACTTACGTAGAGAGTCAATTGATAAGGAATCTAAAGAAAGACAAAATGAATCCTGCCAGCAAGAGCAGGATATACTGAAGATTTCTTGTGTGCAGTCCTGGCACTCCAACCCCACCCCCCACCCCATCCCTCTGATAAATACACACACGTTAAATTGAGATTTAATGATATTCAATCAGATACTCGGGGTATATTTGACCTTCGCTGAAAAGCACGTAGATTCTCGGGTCTGTTTCCTTATCACATGCTGAGTCAGCGAGTTTAGTTTTGTTGCTGGCATCCAACACTGGGGGGCGCTTCAACTCTCGGTTCCCTTGCCTCGACTTCCCCACTAAAACTTTAGCCAAAAACATGAACTTGTGACGCCGGGCGTCTTCTTTAGCATAACCATCCGAGTACTTGGCATCCACAGCAAAGTACGCTCCTTGGCCAAGGAGGGCGCCTACTCTACTTCCGGCTAACCGGAAGTCGATGTTTTGGTGCGGGATGAGATCAGCCGAGTCTGGTGTGGTTCCGTGAAAGAGTTGCTTTTCGTTGGCAAGACCCCGACCGTATTCACGTTCCATGTTGACCTTTGCGCTGAAAACAACAAAGGTCGTAAAGTCTCCTATTTAGGAGGACGTGTGTGATGAGAATAAGGTGTTAACCATCCATTGCTACCACGTCTACAAGAAAGCATTCTGACGAACATATGTCAGTGCGCAAGTTGTTTTTTTACAAATGGATGAATCGTGCGCATGTACGCACAGTCCTCACGTTGTAACATGCATCTATACACATGGGGTGGCGTATGTCAGGCACCATGCACACGTGGAGATCCGGGTTAGAATTGATCTTCAGTAACCAAGGCTTGTCATAAGAAGCGACTAGCGGGATCGGGTGGTCAGGCTCTCTGACTTGATTCACACATGTTATTGTATCCAAATTGCGTAGATTGATGTTCATGCTGTTGATCACTAGAATATCTGGTCCACACTGGATTATTTACAGACCGCCACTACACAGCTGTAATTTGTGCGGCGTTAAACTAAACTCGCTCACTCAGGTATCATGCAGGGACCTATTAGTTTAAATAAACTTTCTGTATATACTAATTTACATAAACATAAACAACTTGCGTCCTGGCGTAAAACTGTATGAATTCACATTTTAACATATGAAGAATGAAGAATCATTTACATATTGTCATCAGACATAAAGTCGGCAGTCTGTGTGAAGGGGCGGTGCGAGGGGTGTCCCATAAGCTTAAGGTCTAACCATGAACGGATCTTCCAGATACAACAAACCTGCCTCTGTACACAGAACAGTACTAAAGCATGAAAATGTGTAACATGTAACATGAAAACCATGGACTGCACAAACTACAACTGCTCAAGTAGCAGTCAGCTTCGCACAGGACTGTGGCTTTATGATCTTTCCACATCCAGATCTTGCCACTCTTATTTCCTCCTCTTTCCACGGCCCAAATCTGAGCTCCGAGGCAGCAAATTTGAGACGAATGAGCACGTTATTACTACCGTGGGGTACTTTGTAGGGTTTTCGGTGGTTTTTGGATGGGTTACAAATGTTATAGAAGTCAAGGGTAACATTGTTGATAAATAGCTAGAAAGAGTTTCATACATAACGTATATTTCATGGTCAGGCTGGAAACCTCCGGGACACCCCTCGCAAGACCTTAGATGTTATGGATCTGAGTTATGGTGATCAGCATCCTGTAGTATTATTGAGACTGTGCACATGAAAGTCTGCAAGTCTTTTCTCAAAGTGAATACGTATACAAATAACAAAATGGCTCTGGGAGAGTATGGAATAGTCTCCCTGCTGTACAACTTTACCTCCAGAATAGTCAAGGTCTCGTGCGAACTTATTCAACTGCAATATGCAATTGATGCAATATGATTACAACTTTTGATGATTGTCACAAATACACATCGTATTATACTTACACAGTATACTGTTCCCACAATGCGACATTCTGGATACGGTAGATGGACACGATGCTCTTATTGGACAGCGTTTCTTCCACCTTTGATTCAACATGTCTGTATTCAAAGGACGTCACCGGGTTGGACTCACTCAGCTCCACCTTCAGGAACCCATCCTGTCCCATGGCTTCCCAGTGTGCTGGTAGACACTTTGATTGGCTCACTGACGAGGACAAGGGTCGCTTTGAAATTCTGAAAAGTCACATTTACATTATCAATCATATTTTTACTTACATATAACTGATGCGGTAGTGTAGGTATAGGTACAACAGCCTCTTATCATAATAACGAATTACGTGGTATATGTACCATTTTACATTTTAATTTGAAAAAGGAACTCATTTTCGGTATGACATTGAACTGCAAATTGTTCACAGCTTGAGCATTCTGCAGAACAATCGTAAGTGATTTCTAACGATTTAACCATACTAAGAGTGAGTGAGTGAGTGAGTATGGTTTAACGCCGATTTTAGCAATATTCCAGCAATATTACGGCTGGGGACATCAGAAATGGGCTTCACACATTGTACCCATGTGGGGAATCGAACCCGGGTTTCCAGCGTGACGAGTGAACGCATTAACCACTAGGCTACCCCCGAAGCCCCAACTATACTTAGTAAGGAACAGAACACTGATAACTACACATATACCTAATGGCAAATGGTTAGGGTTTCTTAAATATGAAAATGAAATGGCATCAGAAAGGTCACTGATTTGTCAATATGGCTGCCGCGGATTATCTGTTTCTTACTGTCAGTGATAGAGTGCTGTTGCTGCGTCGTTTCTGTTAAAGGTTTTGGAACTTTGTCTGATGTATGGGATCTGTCCTACCTCTCCAACATTACTCGCACTTCCTTGTTCTTCACGAAATCTAGAGGTGTCTTCCCGGCTTTGTTCGTCAATCTGATGTCCCCTCCTCGTTCTACAAGATGACATCGAATTTCAAGGGCCAAATCCGCGTCTTTTGGACCTTCCTGTAGACAGTGCAGACAGTTTTATCGAAAAAGTTCAACACAGACTAACATATTTCTATAGATAGTGACGACAGCTCACAAATAGATGTTTGACGCAATTTATCTCGTCCTATAAACACGAAAGACTCACAGCTCCGGGCAGCGTGCTGTCCATGTGGGTGGCGTGTAGAGGAGAATTTCCTTCCTGGTCTTGGACGTTGATCTCCGCCCCTACAGATCAGTAAATGTTGTACAGTTTTGTATATCATACTGCATGTAAGCCCTACTTTATATAGTCTAGGAGCAGTTGGACATTCTGTAATTCACAGACTTGTAAATCATACTGCATACAAACAATACTCATTATATTCCAGGGCATATGGACATTCTGCAATTTACAGACTTGTATGTCTTTCTGCATAAAAGCTATACTCTTCATATTCCAGGTCATATAGACATTTTGCAATTTACAGACTCGTATATCATGCTGCATGTGAGCTATACTCATAATGTTCCAGGGGCAATTTACAGACGTGTATAGCATACTGCCTGCATGTGGTTCTTACCAGATTCCATGAACAGCTTGGCATTCTGCAGATTACAGACTTGTATAACACACTGTTTGTTCACATGTAAGCTTCACTCACCAGATTCAAGGAGCAGTTGCACAATCTGAAGATTACATCTTTGTACAGCCATATGAAGAGCTGTCTTGCCGTTGTCGTCCCGATCATTGACATTGCAGCCAGCCTACGGATGATGTTACAAAATCAACACAGCGGGTCATCTTTTAGAATTTATAGAACTTGCGAATAAATGCCGTATCGTTAGAAGCAGACAGGTATCTCTCATTGCCGCAGAGGTTTGGAAAAACGTAGAAGTAGATTTATCTTTTAAGCCTTTTTATTCACCTTACCTTCACCAGGACACCTGCCAGGGCCACAAAACTCCGGAATGCTGCGATGTGTATCGGGGTGAGGGCGTTGTTCATGGGGACGTTGACGATCTTCGGATCTCTCTTTATCAGTGCTTGTGGAAATCTGTAAAATTAAGGAGCTGTATCAATCAGTAATTGGACTTAGTGGAATTTCTTTGCAAGGATTCCGGGTTATGTAGATCGTTTACCAGTTCAACGTGTTATGAGAGGTTTCTTTTCATAATTTGTAATTTGTAATATCACATTGATTAAATGATAGTTAATATGGGTCACACTGTTTTGAGTGTGGGTTTTGGATCGCATCTCGCATATATGTTCAATGGCAAAAGTATTTGTAGCGGCAAGCCTTTTTGATAGCGCTTCAGAGTTGCCTCCCTTGGTTGGCTTTATTTTGTTTCAGGATCTTGTCACATCGTGTGTTCGAGAAACTGCCGTAACGTTCTGCGAGAATATTGATGGAGCCTAGTATAGCTTAGCTAGAATGCCCGAGATCCGTGTAAGAGCTATATAAAGGCTGGTTGTTGAGTTGTGCGACGGGACATTACACACCGCGCGGAAGATTTATACACATCTGTCTGCCATCATCAAGTTGTTCAAGGTGCTTGTCTATTCAACTGATGTCGTTGCAAACACCCTTCCATACGTGTATTTGTTCTCATTGTGAATGTCAAGACTCTTGTGTGTTAACATTTTATATTTGTGACCCAATAGTTTAGATTTGTGACTCAATTGCATTGTACTAGATATCTGTAGTGTCATTCATTGTAGCTTGCTCATTGTTTGTTCAATACATTATTGAATAAATTAGACTTGTCTGAGTTCTATTTTGCTGGTTCAAAGAGGACTCTTAAACCTTTTGTCACGGCAAAGTATTAACCGTAACATACATACTCTTTAACAACACAAAACATGACAGTTATTTCCAAAGATAAAGATCTGTTGTGGCGGTTTACCCAGTTAGGTTTCCAAATCATTTCAAAACAAGTTCCAATGATTAAATTATCTATCGTACGGTACCAGTAAAACAGGCTCTGCTAATATAAACTCTGTCAAAAAAGAAACGCAACCCCTGTCCTCAGATATGAAAAATTCGTTTGAATGAAGTTATTGCTTCCAAACTAAATTTTATTCGAATGTATTGAAATTATACACGTAATTAATGAAGATTACCATCCAAACAACTGCATTTGTACGCATAAGTGTATTTTATTGCTTATTCCGTCACAACGCATGAAATGACCCTCATGGTGACTTCGCACAAAAAAAACACATGCAAATCATGAAAATGGCAGTTAATGTAGGGGTGTATAAAAGCCCATGTGCTTTCGTATTATATTCATTCATTTGTCGCCGAAAAGCTGTGCCACGATTGAGTGCTGCCGACCGAAATATCGCCATTGGTCGTGTTCAAGCCGGAGAAAGTTTTGGAACTGTTGCACGGCACCTAAATGTTCACAAAACAACGATATCCCGACTTTGGAGCCGCTACAACAACTTCAATTTGACCAACGATCGCCCGAGAAGTGGAAGGCCAAGAATCACGACCCCCCTTCAAGATCGGTACATCCGGGTCCATCACCTGCGTAATCGGCATGCCCTACCAACCGTGACTGCCACACAAATACCAGGTTTGAGGAGAGTGTCAGCTCAAACGATTAGGAACCGTCTGAAAGAAGCGGGTTTACGTGCCTGTAGACCAGTTGTTGGACCTGTACTACGCCCCCTACATCTCCGCCGACGACTCAGGTGGTGCAACAACGTAAGGATATGGACTTTACAAAACTGGAGGCGCATCTGGTTTTCTGATGAATCCCGTTTTCTTTGCAACGTCACGACGGAAGAAAACGTGTGTATAGGAGACGTCATGAACGTTTTGCGCCCATCTGCGTCCGACAGGGGACAGATTTGGCGGAGAAAGCGTTATGGTTTTGGGATCCATCTCATACAACCAGAAATCAGACTTGGTGATCGTTGAAGGAACCTGACAGCCCAACGTTACATCAACCACGTATTACAGCCTCACCTTCTCCCGATTATTGACCAACAGACACAGATTTTTCAACCAGACAACGCCCGGCCTCATACTGCACGTGCAACAATGAACTTTCTGCAGAATTCCAACGTCAATGTCTTGCCATAGCCCTCTAAATCACCAGACCTCAACCCTATTGAACACCTGTGGGATACTCTGGGTCGACGCGTACGTCAACGTCAGCCGCCGCCACAGACGCTGCAACAGCTCGGCGTTGCACTGCAGGAGGAGTGGAGAGCCATTCCCCAGGAAAGAATCCGGCGTCTTATCCGTTCTTGTCCAAGGAGATGCCGTGCAGTGATTGCAGCGCGTGGTGCTCATACGAGATACTGAGAAAGACGCCCCCCTGGTGACAAACTGGTGTCTGTGAGATGACTTTTGAAATGACAATTTTAAACATGCCCATCTTGGTTATTATTCTGCCAAATTTCAGACTTCTGTCTTAAATAATAAAAATGCTGTGTCGTCTTAAAACTTCAGATCAAAATCTCTAAAATACAGGGGTTGCGTTTCTTTTTTGACAGAGTTTATAAAGGCACAATTGTCAATCTGTCAAATGATCTATCGACTGACAATACACAAACTCGCTTTGGCATCATTTTCAACGATTCAGTGATCTGTCAATGGAGAAAGCTTCAGTTGGTTAACTTACTCTGTTGCCCCAGAGAGCGACACACATGCTTCATGGAAAGGGTTGCTGCCTTTAGAATTGGCGAGTCTCAGATTCAGCTGGGCACACTCCAGGAAGGGATCAAGAAGATGCTGGTTATGGGTTCTGAGTGCATCATGAAGGGGCGTATCTCCATCTTCATCCTAAAGAATAGATACAATTATATTAACTCACTTTATGTATTGGCTAAAACTCACTGCCTGAACTATTACAAAGCTGCGCCTACCTGTGTGTTGGGATCACACTTGTACTGTATGAGTGCCTTCAGACACCAGGTGCTGGGGTCCTTCTTGGCCACTGCCAGATGTAATGGTGTCAGTCCCTTGTTGTTCTTCGTGTTGCCCCGTGCCTTGGCGTCCAGCAGTATCCCTACCACAATGGGCTGCTCTCTGTTGACATGACCAGCATTGTCTCAATATAAACCTGATATATTTCTTTAGCCACCCGGTCTCTATGTCACATCAACAGGAATGTGGATATTGAGACTTAGACATACTGAGGACAACCGTCATGAGGGTGTCTCAAGTAAAAAGGTGACAAGTTTAGAGTCACGGGGGTGACATTTTTAAGCGTCACGTGCTACTCATTCTGAGTGAGTGAGGGAGTGATTGAATATGGTTTCACGAAGATTTTCCTGCAATGTCAAGGCAGGGGACACCAGAAATAATTGGCGTCACACGTTGTACCCATATACAATGTACCCATTCAACTGGCTCTTCGGCGTAACGGGCGAATGCATTAACTACTGGGCTACCCCACCGTCCCTCCTTTAGTGGTAAATTCTGACACATTGTGATTTAATCACAAGTTGTATTCTGATAAAAGCAGTGCGTTAACCACTACTCTATCTCCCTACTCACCCTGACACAGCATAGTGCAGAGGTGTGTCTCCTTCATCGTCGGCTTTGTTCAGATCAGCCTTAGCACCGATCAGAAGCTTGACTATGTCAGCATGACCTTTGTAACACCCCGTCTGCAATGCCGTCAGGCCATCCACTGATTCGTTCACCTGATTCATAAATAAATCAAGATCATTTGATCAGTAGGTTCATAACAATAATCACCTACAAATAAGAATAAATTATTTAGATTCAGTACGAATTACGCCAGCCAATGCTTGTAAGGTGTGAATTGTTTTTAATGTGCTGTCAAGAACGTAGAAGTGATAGAATTATGAACGCAACGTTTAACCCAATTTTGACTCAGTTTACCTGGTAAAGGTGAAATGCATACCAGTATAGCAGTATTTAACTGCATTTAAGCAATGGACACTTGTCACAAATGTAGAGTTTGTAACGCGAATTTGTTGTGGGATGGCAAATAGCCTGTATGGGACACAGGGCTAAACATATTGCACCATCCCTTGGTGGTTCAGTGTTATTCTTAGAATTCTGTGAGTGACCTGCCCATGACGCTGCTTTGAACCATGCACAGCTATTACATGTCATCACAGGACCCTTGTAGAGGACGTGCCAAAAAACCAAGAATCATGATTGGGACGAATCAGGAATTCAAACCCACAATCAGCAGATCCTGTCAATGTACGGGCAGTAATTTTGTCTTATGTCGTAAGAGCCTGAGTGAACAATGTTAATCTCGTTACGCCGGCACAGGTACCTTGTCACCAATAGACTTGACAATGTTTTTCACTGTTTCCGTGTCGCCGTTGCTGACAGCGATGACGAGGCCTCGGGCTGTTATGGTGCTGCTGGATGATGCGTTGGGCTTGAACAGAGCACTCGCTCCAGGCTTCAGAGGGCCTAACCGAACCTGAGCCACACCTTCGGCTATGTCTGAGAAAGAAGAATGCAGTGAATGAGCTTTGGAAGGACTTTTTGAAAACAAGGAACGTTATACTCATTAAGATTGCAGAGAGTGGGAAAGTTCAAGGTTTGCCATTTTCATTTTCATCCACCACATCAGATGAACCGCTAACTGACCAGCGAACAACTCTCTTTCCAGCGGATCCTACTTTCACACAAACGCAACTGGTTGCCTTTGATCCATGAGCTATCCGATTTCCCAAAATTGCAACAGTTCACCAAAGGAATCTTTAGCAGATGTTCCTATCAGGGTATGAATGGCTTTTGCTCGTTTTCGTACTAGGATTTCATGCTGTTTTTGAAAAACCCGTAACAATTATTGTAACAATATTAAACAGCTCAAAAATATTTTTTCTTTATTTAAAATAATGGTAAATGCTAGTTGTCAACCACAAAGTTGTTGGTTGTTATTATAACCAGTGATATGTACTCTGATCAAGTAATTTCCTATCCGTAATTCATGATGTTTACTGTTTAAATATTGTATCTTACCTGCTGATGCAGATTTATAAGTACCATCAACATCAGATGTAGAGGAGTCTGAACTGGTGCTTTTATTAGCCCCGAAAGAGATGCCGAACCCTGACAAGGCCTCTCCGTCCTGAGGATCACAGCTGACGGGACTGAAGAACCACTTGACTGGCCCAAAGGCCACCCTCAGATCCCCGTCCTTGTCGATCTCAACCACCTGGCCGGTCTTTCCGAGACACTGTGGATGAAGAAGGGTTGCAATAAAGTACAGGGACAGGTTTGTTACTCCGATCATACCTGAAGAGAATTTCACGGTTTCATTATTTATTTTTTATTCTTATATAAATCACGAAACACGTTACAGTAACTCCCGGTGACAGTTTCTAAACTGATTGGTCGAACATTGGATAAATCGAACGTTTGTCATGTCCTTTTCGTCAACGACGACAAGAAGACAGAAAATACAGTAATGGCGTGTTACTGTTGCATTGGCCAACATATACATTTTCCATTTTGTCATTCCATCCGCCATGTCCGTTCTGGAGATCCACGGCAGCGTTGTAGTTGTTGGTAATCTTCACAACGTCCCCGACAGCAAACGTGTGAAGCTGCAATAATCAGATCGACCAAGACGTCATCAAAACGTCTTCATCTGAGAATGGATGGTGTTTGAGTGAATGCGTGCTCAAATTAAGATTGTAATGTAAGGTGGAACGTACACAATGTATACATATTTCTTTGACATTCAAGGTTACAGTCAGTAGACTCTTATGGATGATGAAGTCTTTCAATTATGTTACAGGTTATAATACTTTCTGAGCTCTGAACAAAACCAGAACAGTTTGGTTTTAGATTGAAAAGGACTGAATTGATAGAAACAAAACTGGTTTAAGCCGTTATGTTGAACAGCATATCTCGACTGATAAGACAAGTATGATACTTTAGGGATGACAACCGCTTCATTAAATATATTATGATGCCCCGTTTCGCTAAAGATTCTTACACCGTTGTTAAGCAGGAATGAGAGTATCATACCTTTCTTATTATTCATCTATTTCTGAAATGCCAATCAAACAGATCATGCCACGACTCATATTGCCCAGGCACTACCTACCCTTGTCAAAGTCGACTTCACCAGACCATACTTCTCAGCATCTGGGTACTGTACATGTGCAACAATGATCTTTCGGTCTGGAGAGGGAAGACCGATGACAGTACCAACCTCTGCCAAACACTAGAAATACAAAAAATGTCATTATTGGCAGATGCAATAAAGCGTTCACGTCCCTAGTATGGTGATCTACCTTCAGTTGTTGGCAATATATAGCCCGGTTTTATATTGTATTGTCAACTATAGTTAAACTGTTTTAGATTTAATTACTAGTTTTAAATTATTCTCTGTGCTACTCTAGTTATTTTACAGTCCTTCGATGACTGATTATTTAGCAACTTTAATTTATTGTTTATGTAAAACATTTCTCGTCACTATGTGGCTGAAATATTGCCGAGGTGACGTTAAATTCTAACTCACTCACTAAAGCGTTCACAAACTCTGTGAGAAGCCCATTTCCAGTGTCCCCCGCCATGAAATTGCTAGAATATTGATAAAAGCGGCGTAAAACCATACTCACTTATTTACGAAGTCACACCCATTATCTGTGACCTCAACGGATGACGAGTAATAACTGAATATATCAATGTTGAAATCAGCATGATAAAGAAGACTGCTTCAATGTACGTACCTGTGACATGCTGTCACGATAAACAGTCAAGTCCGTGTGCGTGCGTTCAAATATATCTGCGTCAACCTCTACTTTCACTTTGTCCCCAACCTCCAGGCGAAATTCAGTGGGATTCACAACATCTGTAACAGCGAAACTACAATTGTGAACACGTTTCGATAATATGTGTCTGTTTCCAAATTGGTTTTATCTTTTGAGACATTTCATGAACTAATAACAACGCTTTTATGAAACTGAAGTAATTGAAATAATGTTATAAGAAACAATTCCAGTTCAAATCGACCAACATTTGGGGATCGCCCCAGTTCATGTCATAGATTTGGGATTTTTGCTTGTAATCAATGCTACTGTAAGTTGATAAAAGGGAAACACTCTAAACTCTGTCATACTTTCATTATTCTGTGATTGGCGTGATGTTTTAGTCCAAATGGGTCCCCACATGTGACGTTTTTCTCAGATAAAACCCTTGATTTGCTCGTCTATACCTTACACAGATTAAACTAAAAGATTAGAAACTATTGCATCATAGAGCTTAAAATATTATAAAGTCTGTTGAAATAAATTGATATTAAGAAGTCGCAATAATATGCCAAAATATGTATAATTTTCATTGCAAAATGTAGTATTTCGGGATTATAGTGCCTTTCCTTCATATGCGAAAGGTAATATATATATATATTTAGTTCCGGTACTGAAAGGCCACAGGCCTGTAGTACCACACATTTATAAAATCAATATTTACACGCACATGTAATATACATGAAGAAGAGAAAATAACCAACTGTAGGTTACATTGTGTTCTGAGATATAATCTGTCCTAAACAACATGGCATAGTAAGCAAACATGGACAAGTTTTGAAGTATAGTATGGTGTTGGTTGTTTACAATGCTGAAACTTTATAAAGGTTTGGATGGGCACAATAATATTTTTTGATATACAACTTTGTCAGGGAATTATAAGCAGGGCAAATTAAAAGAAAATGATATTCATCTTCTATATGGTTAAGATCACATAGTTTGCAAGTTCTATTTTCTTTTTTGACATTTTTAAATCTTCCACTTTCAATAAATAAATCATGTGAAGAACATCTGAATCTGCTTAAAGCTATCCTATACTTTTTAACGTTTAGACATGAAAGATCTATTTCGGCGTCAAAAGTACATTTAAACATCTTATAATGCAAACATGTACTGGAAGGTGATAACTTTTCAAACCATTCTTGCAAATAGATATCTTTTAATCTTCGTGTTAGTTCTAAAATAAACTTACCCTCAGAATCAACATACTGATCGTTCCATGCAAAACCAAACCCTTTCGAGAATAGAAAATTTCTAACAGAAGAAACCTTATTTGTGTGTCCATTTTTATCGAATAGCATCATCATATTGTAACATTTCTTTGGTAGCCTATAAGAAGGCATCTTCAGTAATTTTAACCAGTATTTTATAACTCTGATATTTGAAAATAAGTACATCGGGTATATACCACATTCTCCATACACCATTGTATTCATCGTATTGGATTTAACGCCAAGAAATATTTCACATGCTTTCAATTGAACTCTTTCAATAAAAGTGGCTTAATTTTGGCATCAAATATTTTTAAGTATGAACTTATACCTATGTCTCCAAGTGCATTTAATTGTTTAAAGATACCTATCATGTCCTTTTCTGCTTGCAAACAAGCGTAATTAACATGTGCTCTCCAAGATAAACAATTACTGAAAAACATACAGAACATACAAGACGTATACAGCCTTGTCTTACTCCGAGTTTTAGTTCAAAACAAGCTGAGAATTCATTGCTATTCTTAACACAAGCTTTAACATTTTCATAGATATTATGAATCAACTTTTTCATTTTAGGACTTAAACCGTGTGTATTAAAAATAGACCATACCTTTTGTCTGCCAACTGAATCAAATGCGGTTTCGAAATCACCGAAAAGTGTATAGAGTTTACCACCTTTGGTGTTGAGGTATCTCTGTATAATACTTTGTAATATAAACATATTGTCAGTAGTCGTATATCCATGTCTAAATCCTGCCTGGGATTCATTTATTTTATTCAATGCCTCTTCCCAGGTTACTAATCGTCTGTTAATGATAGAAGTGAAAACCTTACTAAAAATACTCAAAAGAATAATGCCTCTGTAATTATTTGGATTATCGATACTGCCTTGTTTATGTAGAGGGACAATAATACCGATTGTCCAACAAATGGGAAAAATAAAAGCAATCAGTGTATTGTAATAAAACTTGTATGTTTCATCAGTCTGGGTGTCAGCAAGTAGAAATGTGTAACTGTACCAAAATGATATGTCGCCATGTCACATTTGCATAATTTATCTTCAAACTGTTCGAAAAAGTGCCCAAAATGTTGAGCGTTTTCCATGTTCCAAACCTATCGTATTCGATCGAAAAATCCGGGAACATTTGATCAATTGAGAAAAAAACGGCACTGGGACACGCGATAAGTCGACAGTGTACATGGGATTGCAGGCACATGGGGTGGGTGAGTGAGTTAAACTTTTAATTCGCATCGGCAGTATTTAAGTCATATCTTGACTATATCAAGTTATAGATTAATAATAATTAAAGGTAAATTATAAAAACCTGTCAACAAAGGACAGTAAACCAACTTGTTTATCACAGATATAAATGTAAAAGTAATAATTAATTCTCAACCATTATAAAACACGGGCTATAGATCGCCAACAACTGAAGGTGCATCACCAAACCAGGGACTATGGTGACTTACAGTACATTTGCTTCTTGCATGGACCCTAGCTGGATTTAGACCATCCCTGCAGCTGTTAGCAATTTACAACGAGGAGAGTTCTATGAATATACAACTTCTTTAATATAATATGAGCGACGTTTTCGGTGTAGCTACTAACACCGTTATCAAATACGGTGATAACGGTGTTAGTAGCTACACCGAAACGTCGCTCATATTATATTAAAGAAGTTGTATATCTATAGAACTATCTTCGTTGGTCATCACACCAACTTCTAAATACCACTCAAAAAAGTTAGCAATTTAGACAAATCTAGCCATACATCAATAGAACACATATCCTACGATTATAAAGAGGTAGCTTTAAATTTACTTTGAATGTTTTGGGACTTACGTACCCTCTCAGCCGGCCAATAATTTTACCACTTTAACCCCCTTTGAGGATACAACCACTAACAATCTCAGCTGCTCAATTAAACTACCAATAATAGAATATTTATTTATTTACAAACCATTTACAAAAAATTATCTAATAATTATATTTCTTTTCGAAAATCAATAATTAAAGGATAATTAACATTAAAAAGAATTGTTTTCCGCGAAGCAGAATGCGTTTTGGCGTACGTGTCCCATATGCAGTACGTATTTAGCAATGTATCCATAATGCGTTTATTGATGTTTCTTAACTGACACAAACGTTCTCAAAACCGTAGCTTCTTCGCGGAAAATGGAAGCCCATCGTTTCAGAGAATCAAGCTCAACATGAATATTTGCTTATGGACAACAGTGCTTTGATTCGGTTGTATTTAGAGATCATGCAGTACCAATACACTTGGCATTAATACAAAGGAAGCTTTCCTGAAATCACTCCCCATTTTTAATATTTCTACTAGGCTATACCTATTAATATCAATTTCTCAAAAACTAACAGATTTTTTAATATCTTAGTGTTTATGTAATTAAATATTAATGATAAAAGTTTAATGACTGTGCTGTGTTTCTGTCTTAAATATGGTGGAATTTCCGTTTTTGTGCTGAGCGTACACAATAAATAAGAAAATTAAAAGAAGAATTATGATATGTTATAATATGTCCGATTAATACTTTCAATCTTCAATCAAGTTATATCTATTACGACTATCAAATGTTGCTGGAATCACATATCAAATTAAGGAGTCTTTTCTGGAATCGCTTAAAATTTTACCAAACTTGACTCATAACCTAGCTCATATAGCAGAAAAAAATAAGGTTTGTCGGGAATGATTTTCTTTAACTGCTGCATTTGATAGAAAAACGCTACTCCCCCTCCCCTACACTCTCCCCCTCTCCCCACCCCTCTGAGCAAAGATGACACCAAGAACAACAACCCGAACCAACATCATGTATAAAAATGTCGAGGAAACTAAAGGCAACAATGAGAACAAGTAGTTAATACGCTTTGGCCTCTACACTCGTCCAGTGAACCCATTCCTTCATATCTTATCAAACAGCATTACTGACCAGCCAGAAAATCATCACACATAACACAGCATTTTAACGGAAATCCCCAAACCTAAGTTCGTGCTCCTAAGAATATAATATACTCCGTCAGTTCGTTTTCCCTATGTTACAGAAAATAACATCCATAGATTCCAAACCTGTTGGTCTTTTTATAAAATCCAATCATTGAACGTGTATTCAGGTATTTTCACACAAAGGGCGCCCATACACACACTCCAGACACATCTCAACACTCAAACACTGTACATATGCAATCAGACAACCATGTAAGACAGAAAAAGAATTAACAGTATCCTTTTGAAATGCATCAAGAAATATTGATATCCACGTTATTGACAACAATGACAAAAATATCATTTGCTTCCGCAAAATGAATGCATTGTTACTTCAGGCTTCGCCTGACAGTAATGTTGGTTTAACATCCTGGATGCCCAGAAAGGTGATGTGTTGTTGATGTCAACTCACCGAGCACCGGGAGATGGGCCTTGTAGTAACTCCAGCCTTGAGTCTCGTCCACTGTTATGACGTCTACCTTGCCCTGGGCTCCTATACGGTATGACTTCAGACTGTCCTGTCCTCCCCTCCACCTCACATTGACAGCCCCACGACTGTACACTCCCGACCACGCCCCGAGCTGTACGACGTCCCCGGTGGTTCCTTCTCCACCTGCAAACGTAGAAACCACAGACATGCCATGGTTGGATACTCTCTGTGCACCAGAATATCCCCTGAAGATTCTAGAACTAGTCTTCAGCAATCCATGCCTTTCGTAAGAGGCGACTAACGGGATCGGTAGGTCAGGGTCGCTGATTAGGTTGACACATGTCATCGTATCCCAGCTGTGTACATTGATGCTCTTGTTAATCACCGGTTTGGCTCGTCCAGATTCGATTATGTGCAGATCGAAGTCATACAGCTGATGATTCTATGCTTATTTACAGGTCAAGACTTGATCAAATTTAAGACTACAAATGTAAAGGTAAGATCGCCCTTTTATTGAGGCTCCCTTACAACAAAGGGTACTTAATACAACGACTGACAAAGGTGTGTATTAAAAGATGGAAGTAACGGTTGTCTTAACGACAGATGCTGATGCTAATACTGATAAACTGATCATTCGGAAACATATATCGATGTTGATACACCTTACCTGACCTGACGTATACGGGAGCGTATATATTGATACAGGCTCTAAAGTTATATTGAATTGAAGAACTATTTATTCGGATATAAATATTGAAACTGACACAGGCCTTTGTCATATAAAACACTGAGAAACTGACCATTCGAATATAGATATTGATAATGATACATGACCTTGGCTTATGTGAGAATGATGAACTGATTATAGGTTAAGCTTTTGCCTTATTGGACTCGTGAAACATTCACGGAATATTGACACTCCGGTTACTATCCTACTGAAAGCAATCAACAGAGCAATTTATCATCATTTTGCTGGTAAAGAATGACGCGACACTTCACTTTCATACAATTGCAAGAAGAATCATACATCAAAACTGACCGTATTGATCTTCATTTTTCCAGTGTGGTCCACGAATGACCTTTGCATTCTTGAATAGACCAATAGCACGTATTCGTTGAGCGCCAGAACGAGGCGGCACGCGCACCCTGAAAATATGAATAGAAGCAGATTGGTTTTTCACATCAGCTCGATCCTCTAGGTCATTCCAGTAAGCCTTTAAACTTTTTGTTTTCATATATAACAAGTGCTCGAAAGAAAGTATACAGTGTGTTTGACCAAACCTAAAAAGAAGAGAAAATCATTTTATAAATGAACATCTGTTGAATGTCAGTAGAGTGACTATTCAATTCAACAGCAAATGTACACAGTTTCATTTCCTACAAAGTCGAACGTACGGTTTGACTGACACTACAAATCAACAAGGCGTTTTTTTCTGCAAAATGGCATCAAATGTTGAATCAATAGTGAGTGTGAGCACCACTGGCTTCAAAACACGAAGAACGCATTCATGACGTAAGACGCCGAATGACGTTAGGCGTGATCCGTTGCCATTGCTGGCAGGAATTATTCCAGTTGTTGAGCGGTGACAGGAGGCGCTGGTAGTCTTCTGATTTGTCGATCTAGGTGTTCGGATTCATGTCGGGAGAACATGCTGATCACGGCGAAACAAGATAAATGGCAACGCATCTGGTCGCAAAACTTTAACTCTGTATCTTCGAGCATTCAGGCTGCCATGAATAACCACAAGTCTCGTTTTGAGATCACCGCAGAAATCCTCCCTACAGGTTCCAGGTTCCACTACACTATCCTGTATCAATATTGACGGTACAGAGTAATCATTTTGATTTCCTGGAAGTATTTCAAAGTCTTAGTTTCAGGAATCAATAAAATCAAGTGTAAGTTCTTACCATGCTGAGTGCTGAAAACGATTCCATCTGTTTAAGGAGTCATTTTCCTTCCTCGCCTAACATGTGGTAGGGTTCTCTAATGAGTGTTTTAGACTGCTGGGTATAATCCAACCCCTTTCGTTAAACTTTCTGGCAAAGTTCATCATCCAGCCTTTCATATGTTAGGATGTTAAAGCTGCTTAATGTGAAACCTATCCAATTTCTGGCCTGAATTCCATGATTTTTGTCGTTCATAATATATTTTAGGTTGATATGATCTAGGCAGCCCCAGTCATGCATGGAATTAAACCATGACAGCCTTCTAGTGTGAAATATGAGTAAAGTCCCATGGTATATGTATGATTATTAATTTTCTATATTAATGCAAACATACATTTTCCAAAGCATTGATGATATGAACATAAACTCTCAAAGCTCTCTTGTGGCATATAGACATGTAGGACAAGAAAACCTTTTGAAGCTTCATCCGATAATTTTTTCTGAGAAGCTACATGTATATATAATACATGAATCACAGATTTGCCTACGTCGGATGTTTCCTAATGTACCTACAGATTCCAATACACTAAATCAGAAGCATAGGCTCCTTGAGCGAATAGCGTTTGTAAACATCTGAAGTGATAGAGACATGTGTCAGCTGTGATTGGATGAAATAGTGGAAGACTTTTATGTTTTTCAAAAACTAGCCACAGCTTTTAGTATTTAGTGCTGTCATTTTCAACAACCATGACTTATGCTTAATATGAGTACAGATATGTTCAAGTAGGTGACATTTGGTGCGGAACAGGGGAAATATCTTCCTAATAACACCAACTGACTACATGCCATTAACGTATATCTTAATGATCCCCTTGGACGTAATAAGAAAAAAATAGTTTAAATTTTGTTGGTCACTTGGGGAAAAAGTTACTTAAGTAACTATCATTGAAATTTCTGTTTGTTTACGTCTCAAGATACGGGATGTGGTCGCAGTAAACGTAACAGCTTACCGGTTAGGTCAGAGCGCAATTAACGCGCATGACCTCGGGTCATCATTACAAGTGACTTGGAAGGACAGAGTTGTTATACAATACTGGACTTCCTGAACTGCCAGCGTTTATGTATAGGTATGCCACAGCATCAGAACACAAAGAAGATCCCAGATACAGTCTGCACCTGTACACTGACCCATGTTCCAGAAATAGGAAACCTATGACGCCAAATCTTTGAAAAGAGGATCCACAGTTATCCGAACAAAGAACTAGCATTGAAATAGAATGTTACACAAAATACAAAATAAAAGACAATGCTTTTTCATCAGAGATATTTCACTGATAACTACTAGTGTAAATAAGCTGCAAACAATATACCCTAAGTTCAAAGCTTCTCGTCAATACAATTACATATTGACATTATTGCTTCTTAAACAATGATAATCTTTGTTTTATCAGATCTGAGAATATATCCCTTGAGACATAACATTAATAACACTATTTCCTTTTCTGAGATACTTACTAGTGTCATGAAAATTATAGTAAGTTGATTCAAAATTTGGTAAAAGTCATTACAAAAGTTTAGGAAAACACACATAAAATTGTCCTGAAGCTTTCACCTCCTACAAACCATTGTGCAGTTTAATATGAAGCTCATTTTCCACATAACCATCAACAAACCTTGAACAATTTGTCCAAAACCAACATCTTAATTAACACTAGCTTTGGCTCAGTCTTCAAATATTAGTAACCTCCTCAAAAGCTGATGATTTATAAGAAGATCGAATAACATCAAATCTAGGTAATATATGTTTCAATATTAATTCTGTTAAAAGAAAAGTCAACTGAGATTTTTGTAACTTAATAATGTTATTCTGTTCCAGGACTGGATAATGCCTGACCAGGGCGTGACCGAATCGTAGACTTTGCTTTTTCAGATTCTCTGAATGTTGAAATAACTTTGATAACTAGCAATCACTTTTAGAATTATCTTATTAGTAAATATATTATTTAACAAAAATATCTAAAAGCAGGAGCCAACAAACTAAGTTAATACCAAGTGATTGTCCTGCCATAATATGCATAGTGTTTGTTTGCCTAGTTCTGCTTTAAAATCATATGAATAGGATATGTCAATCAATTAAATAATTATTTATAATTGATTAGATTATTATTTATTTTATTACCCGCCCACATTTACTTAAGAAAGAAAGAATCTTAAAACATACCTTGCTATCATTTTCAGTGAATTAATCAAAATAACAGTTGTAATATTACTCCTAAAATATACCAATATATGCGAATAATTTATGTTGTAACAAAACTTCAAATAATGTTCTCATAATTAAGAAATACACTATATTTTACTGCGTCCATTACTCCAGAAAGTCACTATTCTTCTCACATAGTTTTTGTATTTGATCCACATGGAGGATGGTAATTCAATTCAAGGTCCCATGCATCTCTTTATCAAAATTCTGAAATATTTAAAGCATGGTTTTATAGGCACCCATATGAACTATTTTTGATATTTGGATATTGCATGATAGGCAACTGCTGACACTGACTATATTTCCGAGTAATAAATAATATTACTCCTCGAATATTTAGCACCATTAACAAGATACTGTAGATTGTGCTTTTGAAACTTAAAACATCCTAACATATGTGACAAATTTAAGAATATCAAAGAGCGAAGGGAACAATATCCGCCACATTTTTGTTTCTGTCATCTTATGAACTATGAGTTGCGTCCCTTGGTGAACCAAGGCGCCTACGGTTTGAGATTTCGAATATCGATTCACCCTGATTGTGTTTCTGGGTTATCAACACCATACCCTGCTGGTGGATTTTATTAATAATAAACCCATATAAATTAAAAAGGAGCCCCAGGGAGAGAGATTCAGAACCTGGGGAAACCTAGGGAAACATAGACTTCCTTCATTTAGGGTTTTAGCATTGCAGGGAGGGCTCGGCTATAGGGAAAATAATATGGTTCAGGGACTGTGAGACAGAATAACCCTGACCCCAGTATCACACGATATCGAAAGAAAGAAATGAGCGTCATCTGCTGAAGCGCAGAAGGGCTCATGACTTCCGTGATGATGCCCTAGATATAACTGATTACATTATGGCAAATATGGAGACTGAAATATGTTTGTTATCTATAAAAGTCCCTAGATATATACCTCTCCAACACAACTCGCTGGAGAAATTGCTAACAACGCAAGATTGTGTATGCGTGACATTGAGACGCGTACTCACAGTGGTGAGTTGATGGTGAGACTGCGGAGGAAGGCGTGGTCTGTGTCGTGGCGTTCTGTGTTGTAACAAAGGGTGCACAGGATGAAGTTCGTGCATGTCGAGCACGTCCATATCATCCCTGAAATGTTAACTTCTCCACATCCATCACACAGGGCGCCTTTCACTTGGTCTCCTGGACAATATACAAAGGCATGTTAGTAAGATGCAAGCATAACTGTAACTTAACACAGAATGCATTTTTGATTCTAGAGGATTAAAAGGTAAAAATAATAATAATAAAATTCGATTCCTGCACGTCAGAGGTAAATCTTAATTAATCTCATCTCGTAAAACAATTCAGGAAATAAAATTTAATATTGTGGTGATCTGTGCTTTTATTGAATAAGTCTTCCTTTCAATAAAGGTATGTCATTTATAATGGTATTGTGGACCCAGGATCCCCAGTCATCTTATGAACTATGAGTTGCGTCCCTTGGTGAAACCAGGAGCCTACGGTCTGAGATTTCGAATATCGATTCGCCCTGATTGTGTTTCTGGGTTTATAAACACCATACCCTGCTGGTGGATTTTTTTAAAGTAGTAAAGTCGGAGAACTGCATTGAACTTTCCTTCCGCGTAAAGCTTACATGTCGTAATATAACTGGAAAATTGCTCAAAGCAGCGTTGAGCTGACTTCACTCACTCACTGTTGTGCATGTGTGATAGCTGCCTTTAATCGGAAACAGCAAAATACAACTGTACAGATAACATGTTCTAAAACTCTGAATATTTCTATATTTCATTGAAAACATCACAGCTTTACACACCAGGGTAATAAATATGTTTGAATTTTGGGCAGGATATTTTTTCAAATGTCACTGCTCAACAGTACGTTGTCACTGAGCAGAGTTCAAGAAATTATCTTCATATGTACACGAGTATCATACCTGTAGGACCTGAGTCAAACACCAGCAGCTCGAACTTGCCATCATATCCTGCCCGGTACTGGAACTCTCGGCCACTGTCCCAGATAACGGACACTTTGCCTTTTGCCCAATCAGAATCCTCTATCTTCACAACCGTTCCCACGTGACCTTCACCGCCATCTTGATCTCTCCCCGCCCAGTCGGGACCTCTGACCACTCTGATTCCCGGACATGGGTAGGTAGCGGTCATCTTGAGTGGACACACTGAAGGCAATGATAGAGAATAAGTTTCAAAATCAGCATTAGCTGAAAGTGGTGGTAAAAGTTCCTTATTGGACCATCCTGATGCTCGGACATTGTTTAAGTAGCGGTGAGTCTACACTATGACGACACTGTCAGAGAAAGAATTACAAAATGAGCATTAGCTTGAAGCGGTGGTAAACGTTCTACATGTGACCACTCTCATACTCGGACATGGGTCAGTAGCAGCCATCGTTTGGGGACACTATAGAGGCAATGGTAGACACATGTTTATTAAAGAGAAAATGTATAAGTATACAGCGGGTTATACATCATGCAACCATTTCTCGTGGTTGCGGTGCCACATCGGCTCAACCGGAAGTGCCTGTATAATCTTTTGCCATTAAGTGCTAGCCGATTGCGAAAGCTATGCTCATCAGTATAGCCTGATCACAATCCTGCGATTGCTAGAGCCATACTCATAATTGTCAGTGTCACCGAATTGGTATATAAACAATAAATTATGGACTAAAATACAATAAATGATTATAAAACCTGACATGTTCAAACAATCAAATGGCAACATCACAGAAGCAAAAGAAGCAAATGACGTCAAGATCTAATGCAGTCAATAGTCAACTGATACCTTTAAAAGGAAGGAAATATGGGGAAACTTGTGCAAGACCTTAAAAACAACAATCAGTTTGAAATGAAAACATGGTCTGAGCCAATACAACAAGCAGCTGACAATACGACCTGAGAAATAAACATTTAACTGACATGATAAAACACGTAAATATACACCTGCAGCATGACCCCCAAAAGTGAACCAATCACCTGACAATATGCCCTGAAACAATAGATACAATTTGTTTATCAATAGACCGATCCAGTCCCGGCCGATAAGCCCCGGGACTAAAGTAGTATACACAATGGGGGTACTAGATAAATTCCAACAAAAGCCTCTGTAAAGCTTCATTCACGAAATAAAGCTTTTGTCAGGCCCTTATCTCTCCCCGCTATTGTATATACCAGTTTTGAACCCCCAGTTAACTTCCTGGTCACTATGAACGCGAACCAACACTTTCCTGATCACGTGGCACTATTGTGATCGCCCTATGTCATGTTGACAGGAAACAGTTGAATGTGAGCTGGTTACAGGATACTATTGGGATTACTTGGTAAGGTAAGTGTTAAATATTTTGCTTGGGGGGTAACATTGTGTCGTATGGTATGACCAATAATTCCTCTCTAATTTGAAACCTCTCCCTGGTCCATCTTCAAGTAGTACAAGTTCGGGCTCGCCGGCTTTGATGTCCACTTTATCTACGCTTGTAAGTTCTGACTGACCATGTTGGGTCGGTGGCTCGTTTCGAGTGTCCCTTCATGTTCTCCCGGCTGGCTGACACCACTTGAGGTAGCCTCGCCACCCATTCCGTCAGATCATTTTCCCAGGTTGGCCATCTCTCGCATACTGGTGTCCGAATAAGCTACCGGCCAAAGTCCCATTGAATCTCAACGATGGCTTGACTGGCGATGAGCCCCGGTCGCCATGCCTGACCTGGATGATGTGTTTGGCTAGCAGTTGTAACATGGCACCCATGAACTCCCGTCCGGATCGACTTGCAGTTCCGGTAATAAATCCAGTTAAGGCTGCTTTGTATATGCGTTCGAACTGCGGGCTACCTGGGCCGAGTCTTTCGGGTTTAGGTTCGGCTTTCTTTGTAGCAGCTGGCCACGTCCACTTCCATTTAATTAGGGGATATACCTGTAACCTCCTGTCATTGGTAGGAACAGGAGGTCGCACTCGGTGAACGCTTTAATGGTACAGCAATATCGAACTTTTTTCTAGGCACGAAGCGTGGTGCCAGTAAATAGATCTGCCACAGGCTTTTGTTTCTTCGCCACGCTTTGGCCTCGTCTGGGGTACTCTCGCCATTCTCGACAAGCTTTATGTATGGCTAGCTCGGCCTTTTCCAGTACCCACACGGGCTGCAGCAAATAGCTTTCAAACTTTTCTCTTCCGTGACATCGTACATGCACCCATGTTCTTCCGTTCAATTTTCATGCCCCGTATAGCGCACGCAGCGATCCCGCCGATGGCTATCCAACGCTTTCGTGTCCATCGGCGACAGGGACGTCTTGTTTATCGTCAGTCTGTATATCCTGTGTCCTTTCGCTTTAAGCTTGTTCATCTGATGCTTGAAGGTGCGCCCCTGAACAGGGCCACCTTGAACTCCGGCGTGTTTGAAGTGTTGTTTCACCACGTACTTTTGACACCCTTCACCTGGTGGATCTCGCTATTGTCGGCTTTCAGGATGGAGTACATCTTGGGTCTCGCTCGTGTACTTGCTATGGGCGTGCCAGCACACTCGTCCTTCATCTTACCGAGGACCTTTTTGTTAACCGTGCTGTGCATGGCATGGTCCTGGGGTAGTCACTGGTGTCGGTATAAATGGATGTGTTTTTACCATGCCCTGTAAACGTCCTCGGTTCGAATCTCCATCAGCAGGAGTCCGTGTCCGCGGTACAGCACCGCACCCGTCGCCGCATCGTTTCATCAGTTCGTTGTAGTAAAAGTCGCACATCAGGTGTTTGATAAGTCGAGGATGCTCATCCCCACGCAAACAGTGGCCGGCTGAACTTGATGTGGCTCTTCCTCATATGTAGGGCCACCAGATCGTCGGTGAATATCTTGCTCTGGTTGAATGCCGAGCTGGCTATCAGTCCCTGAGCTTGTCTTCCTCTTCTGACCGGACCAGCTTCATGGTCAGTACGCTTTCGCGAGATCTTCCATTGTCTTACCGAACACCAAAGTTGTTCCGCGAGCCTTGTAGAGGTTCTTCGAAGACACTGTACAGCTTTTGCAGGTCTGTGTTCATTCTGATGTAGGGCCCATCCACGGCTCTGGTCGAACTTGAGCAATCTATGGGTTTTAGTCAAGCCTCATACCCAGCTTACAGGTACAGCTGCAGGTTACAATAGTGAATGATGTACTTGGTCTTGTTCATCAAGTTGGGGTACGAGTTTTTCAACGTTGGCTAGCTTTATTACCTCCACCCTCCGTTGGTAGTCGAACATCCAGTCCGTAGGGTTCACCATCAAACGTTCTGGGGCCAGGGGTAGCTGTTGTGTGACTTATGTAATGCTGTTGGGTACTCAAGTCAACTCCTCGAGTATGTAACCTACCACCAAATCCGGCGGTATGCTCATGACGTCTATCTCAGGCAATCCACTGAAACTCCCAGGTGGGTAGATATTGGCTCATGGCCCAACCGTACAGGTTGTTGGCGTCGAGGAGATGATTAATGGGTTTGGCAGCATTTGAGCCCTTCATGTACTTATTGTTGGCTCTTGCGTAGCGTTTGGCAGCCATGGAGATCCCACCTTGCAATCCTTTTCGATGAACAGGCATGCATGTAATCGGTGAGGAGTTCCAGCTTATCTCCGGTTTTCTTCAACAAGGCATCCTAAGAGAGCCTGGGGCTGGGTAGTACCACGCGGGTCGAGTTGATACTGCTTGAAACATGTCTTTCTGAACGTCTCGAACACGTCAGCCAGCAGGGAGCATGTCCGTTCTCAAGTACAGGTCGTGGTAATTGCCCAGATTCTGCGTTCAGTTTATTCCACGCTTAATGGCGATCCGCGCATTAATCATCTTGGGTGATGGCCAAGTCGGGTCAGGTTGCTGTAAAATTCCCTGATGGGGGTAGTCGGTCTCGCGAACTTGGCCCAGCCATCCATGTAATCGTAGGGTTAACACCCTTCCTCATCAGCAGGGCCGAGTCTCGGCGTCAGTGTATCGATCAGTGATCGGAAGGTATCGCTGGCTTTGACCAAACTATCGAGAGATGATAGCAGGAACTGAACTGAGTCTATGAACCTCAGGCCGTTCAGGAGAAGGAGATGTATCCCTCCATGTTGTTGGGGATGCACGTCAGGGTGTCCGTCGACCTTCGCGATGGCCTGTACGATCAAGCGGGGAGTCAAAATACCCGTCAAGTTGTGGAAAGACCACGGGATGTTGATCCTTTAGGGTTGATTCTGAGCTTGAGGTTGCACGCGCTCGTGCCGGCGCCTCTGTACTCACCGGAATACATGGCAGTGATCTTTCACCGAACTGCCGTTGATGGGCCATCGCATGCCGGTGGCAGTGAGTGCTGCGTCGTGGGCTCGTCGGTTGGCTTGGGTCATTTGCATGGGGACGACATTGCACAAATTTCTTCCTGATGGCTTTCTTCCTCCTGCAAGCACTTTAGAAACTTTTCAGCCGGGAAAGGTACCCTGTACACAACGGAGCTTTCGCTTCCCCATCACATCGGACGACCACGTATCCGAAGCCACAGGCCCTCGTGCTCCTGTGTTTTGTGGCGTGTTTGGGAGTCGGGCCGCTATCAACGGTTTCATGAGGGCTTTGAAGTCGGCATAAATGATACCAAGGTGACGACATCTGGTTCTTATGGTTGTCGAATTTTTAGGATATTGTCGCCTTCCTTGGGCATGTTCGATTCAGTATGGACATCTGCCCAAACTCTAGGCAATACTCCCGTGGAATTCCAGCAGCCCTGGTCGTGGTGAAACCCGCAGAGCACCGTTCAGAAGTGACTTCTTTTTCGTGTGCCGAATTGGTCGTATATAACAGCCCGCTGAAGTGTTTAATCCCACGCCAGTAGTGGTATTTATCACCTCGCTGGATCATGAATATATTGATCACGCCGGCGACCTCCATTGGCTGATCACCTGTGCACGATCGTTTTGTTGCCTTCGTGCCCAAAGACGTTGACAGCTATATCATTCTGTTTCGATTTTGGTGGACCTGGGAGGTGATGAGTGGGTCTCCGTCCCCACTGCTCCAGTTGAGCCCATCATTTTGGGATAGCTAGAAGGGCATGTTCTGAATTAACGTTGGCTGGAAACAAGGCTGACCTGATCGTGGGGCTAACCTCATTCAATCGTCCCTCTGTGATTTTAATGTTGACCATGGCCTTTTTTTTTCTTGTAGTAAGGGTGTCTAGGTACGATCCCTCCTGAATGGTAACCTC